TTTTTAGACACTTACTCTGAACACACTGATATGGTCACAAGTTAAATGCTTCTTCAGAGATAGGTCACTCCTAAATGTGCATACACAGTCTTTATAGATGCATGGGAGTGGACAGTGACTTGCCTGATGGCAGTGTTTCAGCTTGTACTGTGCGAACTTCATCGATACTGAGTTGTGCTTCCACTCTGCTTGCACTGTACTGATCCTGCAAATAAAAAACAAAAAAGTCAAACTCCAGCCAAGTACACATACACATGTTACATAGAGAAATATTCACAAAAAATCTTACTTGAAACTAACGATAATGAGATCAGATTAAGAAAATGCTAAAAAGTCACTTATATGTAGACTGTTTATCTATTTATCAACATTAACTTGATCCACAATTTTAGTAGTGATGGGAAGTCCGGTTCTTTCGGACAGTTCGTTTCAATGAACCGGTTCACCAGTTCTTTTACGTCATCACCCAATGACTTCATTTATATCGAGAATGAAAATACGCTCAAACACATTCAAATAAAGTAATTTGTAATCATAACTTAAGTTAAATAATAATAATCCTCACCATCATCGTCGTCTCGGAAAAGTTTCTTACATTAGCGTACATTCTTACACCATATAAGGCTCTGATGTGCAAACAGATGTTTTAGAAGTCGAACTAGTCTTCATTGGCTTTTTACAGAAATGAGGATTCAGTTCATAAAGCTTAAACTATAACGTGCATACAATAGTACAGGGGTGGCGAACTCCGGTCCTGGAGAGCCGCAGCCCTGCATATTTCAGCTCCAACCCTAATTAAAACTCACCTGCCTGTAGCTTCCTACCCTTCAGACCTTGATTAGCTTGTTCAGGTGTGTTTGATTAGGGTTGAAGCAAAACTCTGCAGGGCAGCGGCTCTCCAGGACCGATGTTCGCCACCCCTGCAATAGTAAATAGCACATTTAATTTACGTTTTAACTGAACAGTTGTAGCATGTTCATCATGCTAAAAATGCTGTTTGATATAACTAATAGCATTCGCATTTTCCAGTAACTTTAGGCATACGTTTTATTTTTTTATTAACTTACATTTTGCAAAATTCATAGTGTACTGGAGATCCGAGAAGCGCGGCTGTAACAGTTCGGTAACGGTAGAACACTCATGCTCAGTCAAGTCAAGTCAAGTCAAAGCAACTGAACAGCATTAATTAGGAAAATAGTGTCAATAATGCAAAATGACAATAGTAAACACTCATTTTTCAGTTAAAGACAGTTCATCATTGAATTCAGTGATGTCAACATCCAGCTCAGTTTAAATAATATCTTTGCAATTATGTCAACGATAACGCTGGAAATGAAGTGTCCCCAACTAAGCAAGCCAGAGGCGACAGCGGCAAGGAACCAAAACTCCATCGGTGACAGAATGGAGAAAAAACCTTGGGAGAAACCAACAGAAAGAGTGTGTCTGAACCCCGAACGTTATCAGGAAGGCTATTCCAGAAAACAGTATCAGCTGTTTGTATTCATCAGTTCTCTCAGCACAGCATGTGTCAATTCAGTGAACGTTTGGAGTTAATGGCGTAACATATACTCCGAAATACTGGTTTATTTCAAGTCTGAATGTCTGAAAGTGAATAAACATGAATTTGCCTGGCAGTGCGTGTGGCTCAGTTCGCAAAATGTGATTGCCTGAAATCAAAACACGGACGGTGAGCGCCAACGAAACAAGCCTAAATTCACATTATAGAAATCACAGATCAGGGTATACTTACCCATTCCATTATCTGCAGTCCATAAAGTCCATCTGTAATCGTTTAAACGCGGGCGCCTTCATCTTTTCTTGCATGATCAGCAACTTCTCGTGCAGAAAATGGCGCGACTCTCAAGTTCGTTAAAATAGTACGTCATCATGAGGTAGAGTTTCTGGCACATGCGCATCACACAGAAAATTGATAGAATTATGCTTTGTTGTTATATGAACATGTTATTTAAAGTTTTCCATTTCCCTTCAAGTTGAGGTTGTTATAACTCATCCTATTGTATAGTGAGACACTTAAAGTTGACAGGACATGATTTTGCTTGTCCACCTGACTAAAACTCAGAATCATTTTTTACAGTGTGGGCCTTATGCCTCAGGTAATCCAAGTCGTGTTGTTAGCTTCTGCTTATGTTACTTGCTGAAATACACTAGTAATAATAATAAATGATAATGAGTAATTTGATATAAAATATCCATTACTGATAACAATACAAATTATATTAATAATATATTACATAACACACCTGTGCTGCATGGTCAACGCATGTTCCTCACAGGCTTTGCCTGACGTAACCAGTGAGATGTTACTCTAAAGGTGCTGGCTATATTTAGGGTCACTGAAAGGTCATGTCACCTCAGATGCATAACCTTATTAGACGCATAAGTTCTGCTCTGTGGCCAACATCGTGTGACACGCAGGTGAGGAGTCGGATGTTGCTGGTAATTAAACTTTCAATAGCTAATTTTAAGTTATGGCACCTTGTTTTAACATTTACTTTACAGACTAATGCACGAAGTGCTTGTCATGTACTATCAATTGTAAAAAATCCCAATAAGAGGCTTCATGTGTCAAGATAAGTATTTTGTTGTTGTTGTTGTTGTTTTTAAAGTCTTTAATATGTTTATTAAATGTTGTAACAATACCTACAATTGAGCTTTTAAAGGTGTGCAATATAAAGTGTTCAACAAATAATTCTTTAATCATGCAATGTTTATCATATACTATTCATGTGTCTGTATTTGTGCAAAATTAAAATAATGTACAGTATATACAGTAGTCATGATTTATGTTTTGTAAATTGTGTGATTTGTGTAACACTGCAGTATCTATCTATCTATCTATCTATCTATCTATCTATCTATCTATCTGTTATGTTAGATCAGTAGGTCAGATTTTGATGCAAACATTGTTGAGAAACTGTGAAACGTGCAAATCCTCCACTAGCCTGTATCAATTGCAGCAGATTGTTCACATGTTGTTCGTTGTTATCATATGGTAGCCTGCGCTCTTGGGGATCCAGAGGTAACCTCTCCTGTGTTTAAAGGGCATCCCAAAAAAGCTCCGCCAACATGGTCCGTGGCAAACAGACCAGAGTGCTTCTCTTTGCATGTAACTTGACTGATAAATGCCGTATTTAATCTAAAGTTTCAGTCTTACAGGGATATTGGTTGTGCAACGCCGCCTGCAGTTTTCTAATGTGACTCGCATAAAATTCACTTAGGCTTTGAGCTTCAGTTGCGCCTGGGCCCAACCCTGCAGGGTAAGAGTGTGCATGTCCACATCAACTACCCAGCACCGGGCAAGAAGTTCGTCAGCTCCAGCTTCCATCAGCTGGAGTGGGTGAACCCCAGCGGCAGAGAGGATGATTCAGACAAATACTGCAAACTGGACCTGGAGATAGCAGGCTCTTATCAGTATTACTTTGGGTGTGGGTGAGTGAGTTGTATTATTGCATTTACTTCTTGGAATTTGGGCAGTTTGTAATTGCCTTCAGAGAAAAAAGGTGTTTCCCTATATTGTGTGTACAGGAATGAGGAAAGAACCGGAGGTGGCTACATTGTTGTGGATCCAGTGTTGCGTATTGGTCATGAGAGGAAGATCCTGCCTCTCGATTGCATTACAGTTCAGACTTACCTTGCTAAGTGTTTGGGCCCTCTGGATGAATGGCTGGACAGACTCAGAGTGGCCAAGGAAACTGGTATGAATCACTATCTGTTGAAACTCATGTATGACAAACATTTAATAATGTTTATAAAATGGGTATTTACTCCCTATTGTCTGTGACTATGGGGGTAATAGAGTTTAATGCATAGAAAAAAGGCATGTCTCACATAAAACCAGGTTAAACTTCATCCACTTTGACTATCTCTGGGTTATTTCTGCTTTTCATAGTCACTTAAATAATAAGTATTAGCATGCATGCCATATGTGCCTGTGTTTATCAGCAGTCCAAACAAGCATTTTTCAATTAACAAGATTAAAAGTGAAATTAATATTAATTTCACCTTACAGCTGCAAACAAGTTTTTTTTATCATTAGTGATGTTGGCTAAGGCAAACTTTTACTTGAACAAACCACTAACTCTAAGTATTAAACTTTGGTGTGTAACTTGTCCCGCACCATTTGTGCGATATGGATGAATGAACCTCTTCGCCATGGTTTCAACACCAGATGGTGAAACACTAACTATCCAACAAGCTATATTTGGCCAAATGTAACCATGTAAGGTACAAAAAGCTCCATTCATATAAAGTAGATGACGGGGTTTTTTTTAATGTTCAGGTTACAATATGATCCACTTCACGCCTCTGCAGAAACTAGGCGCATCACGATCATGCTACTCCATAGCTGATCAGCTGGAGCTGAACCCTGATTTCTCCTCACCTGGCAAGAACTACACTTGGATGGATGTGGGCAACCTGACGGAGAAACTTAAGAAAGAGTGGAGCATGCTTTGCATCACAGATGTGGTGTACAACCACACAGGTACGTTTCTGCTGCGTCTTTAGCATGTAGTGAAAAACACTAGCAGAACCTTCTAGCACTGCATCGTGTTTCCAGTGTCTGGAAGTCTCTGGGTTCGGCTATTCATCTTATTAGAATGGCAATGTCACCTCTTAAGAATGACACAGCAGACCAAGAACAAAGTGGTTAGGCTATTTATATATAAATTGCAGCGATCAGAGTGCAGATGAAAGCTGGTCACATCTGTGGCACAATGGTTGAGATTTTTGACCTTTCAGTCACTCTGCAGGAAGATTAACGTTGGCTGACTTGTTCTTTGTGCCATTCTAATGTTTCATGTTGCCCTCTGCTGCATGTATGCCATGGGAACAAATCTGAAAACCTTTGTTTGCTTCGTTTTGGTTAGTCTGTAAAAGTGATTCAGCAGGGTTTAGAAGTAGTTCTCAACAGGGTGCCAAAATGTTTGCATTTTAGCACTTCTTTTATTTTTGGTTTCGGTATGTTAGCTGTAGATGGTAAGGTAAGATTTAAGCATGTTATAACTATGAGTCATTGGCATTTACAGACGACAGTCACCTCAGTTAACCCACCGAGATTCACAGTCAGAAATGAAATTGCAACAGTTGTGTAAAGCAATTAAATTATACCAACCATTAAAAAAAATATGAGTTAATATTACATAAACCTGCAGCTCACGCTCTCAAATGTATTATAGCAACCATTTTGGCAGGAATAAAAAAATACAATTTGAGTCTCACAACATGATGGCTTCCTACTGATATAATTGCAGGCGTATTCATATCAAATTTAGCAATATTCCTGTCTGACTTGTTATTAGATTTTTCAAACATGTATGTTTAGTAACAGAAAAATGGCAATATCCACCCAAGATATAAATGTGTGTAAATATGAGACATTTTTTGTCTCATTGGTGATCAGTTTTCTTTTTGTTTTCATTGTTATTCTCACAACAGAGCCCATTCAGTAAACTATATATAAATGATTCAATTTCCCCCCTCTAAAATAGTCTATTGACACTTTAAAAGAACATACCGACGTTTCCAACTTTTATCTAACTGGAAAAAGGAAGGCAATTTACACATGTTGTATGCCAATAAATATAATACCATGCATCAGGTACTTTTTTTTATTATGTTATTCCAAAACAAATACAGATTTTTAGAATCAGTGGCTGCAAGAAGTAAAAAAAGGATATATTTGATTAATATCAATACTTAATTCTTGGACTCAGAGGAACTTTTTAAGCTTCTGATGTCTTTGGTAAGTTGCCACAGGAAGTGTTTGCTGCTCTTTAATCTTTTAAACACAGCTGTCATCGTTTGTGGAACAGAACGGCTGTGATACAGATTATGTGGAATCAGAGCAGTTCTTTAAACACAAGACTGAAGTTTATCACACTTAATGAGCCATTTTGAAATTGATTTTACTGTTTTATTATGTGCAAACGTACCAGTACTTATCAGACACTTAAGTACGTTTACATGTCACCTTTTCATTTCCTTAATATGTGCACACTGTTGATCTAGTGTATGTCCAGTATGTCCCATACTAACAGGTATACCAGATTGTATTTCCATATGTTTGGGTTTTGAAAACAAAGTACTCCTTTTGGCTGAAATAAAATGGATAAATGGTCTTGAATGATGATGATGATGAAATAATGTCTATGTTCCCTTGGTTAGCTGCGAACAGTAAGTGGATCCGACTCCATCCAGAGTGTGGCTATAACCTGGTAAACTCTCCTTATCTGAAGCCAGCCTGGCTGCTGGACAGAGCCCTGTGGCATTTCAGCTGTGCCGTAGCAGATGGAAAATACAGCGACAGCGGCCTTCCACCTCTTATTGAGAATGACAAACGCATAACTGTAAGTCTTGAGGGTGTCACGGGTTTTTTACATTCCATAAATACTTTAAAGTTTGTGGTGACCAATAAATTGGCTTGATGTTTCAGATCCTTCAAGGGCTTCTGTGGACGGAAGTTTTCTCCCAACTGAAACTATGGGAGTTTCTACAGGTGAACGTTGAGAAAAACGTGGAGCAGTTTAGGAAGGTTCTTCAGGCTGGTGAGTGTTTCAAGTGTGCTAGTATTTTCTTGGATGCTCTTTCACTTGTATTTTGTAGGGTCTGAGTTGGGTGTATTTGCCATCTGTAGGTAACAGACCTGCGGGGCCTGAGCTGGAGGGAAAGCCAAAATTGAAAGTCATCCAGGATTCACAGTACAGACGCTTCAGCAACACTGTAGACATGCAGCTGGCCCTGGAGATGTTTGGCAGACACACGTGAGTTCACTTCCTATTCAAGTTCTGTTTAATGATTAATGTTTTTGGATAGAATATTTGTTTTTTGTGACCATGTGACTATGTTTAGTTCTTAATTATCTCACATGAAAAGGTCAGGGTAAGTAAGATAAGTATAATCATAATAAAGTAATAATATTCAGATGGTCATATAATATCAACATGGCAGCCCCTACATCACTTTATATATTTGTCAAAGTACAAAGGGTCAAAGTATTTATTTATTTATTTACAAAAGTGTGAGATTTTCAGCGGGCATTACTCCAGTTTTCGTTGTCAAATGATCCATCAGAAACAATTCTGATATGCTGATTTGCTGCTTAAGAAAAATTTCTTATTATTATCAATGTTGAAAAAAATGACTTAATATTTTGTGGAAATATACACTACCATACAAAAGTTTGGGGTCAGTAAGATTTTTTTTTAAATAAATCTTATCCAAACTTCTGACTGGTTTATTATTATTAGTGTGGGGCAACGATTAATTTTTTTCCAAAATAAAAGTTTTTGTTTACATAATGTGTATGCACTGTGTATATTTATTATGTATATATAAATACACACACACACACACGCAGTATCTTTTTTAAATAAATCTTATCCAAACTTCTGACTGGTTTATTATTATTAGTGTGGGGCAACGATGAATTTTTTTCCAAAATAAAAGTTTTTGTTTACATAATATGTGTATGCACTGTGTATATTTATTATGTATATATAAATACACACACACACACACGCAGTATTTATTTTGATAATATTTACATGTATTTACGTGTATATATTTCTATTCACATAATTTATATAATATATATAAATATATATACATAATAAATAAACACAGTACACACATATACTATGTACTATACACATACTATGTAAACAAAAACCTTTATTTTGGATGTGATTAATCGGTGCCCAGCACTAATTATTATTATTATTATTATTATTATTATTATTATTATTTTCTTTCCTCATTTCTTTCTTCTTTAAATCTAGATTGTATTTATTTTGATAATATTTACATGTATTTACGTGTATATATTTCTATTCACATAATTTATATAATATATATAAATATATTTAATATATAAACATAATATATTTTTCTTAAATATATACATGCATGTGTGTGTATTTATATATATATAT